AGGAAAAGAAGGAAAGTAGAGAGAGACGAGAAACTGAGAAATTAAAAAAAAAGGAAAAAAGAAAAAGAAATAAATAATGAAAAAAAGTCCCCAGGGATCCTATCTGCGTGGCTGTGCAGGCCAGGGAAGTAGCTCCCAAGCTGAGCAGTACAGCCTGGCTAGAAGGGGTGGAGATGACACATAGCGCCGCATATTCAGGAGACAGGAAAAGAAGGAAAAGTAGAGAGAGACAAGAAACCAAGAAATTAAAAAAAATAAAGGAAAAAAGAAAAATCAGACAAAACCAAAAAAGACCCCAGGGATCCCTCCAGTGTGGCAGCACTGATGGGGGAAGCGGTTCCTCAGCCGAGTGGTGCTTCACAGCCTGTCAGGAAGCAGAGATGGCACACAGAGCCAGGTGTTCAAGAGAAAGGAAAGGGAGGAGGTGACAGACAGGGAAGAAACCAAAAGGAATCTAAAAAGCAACACCAGTAACAAAGAAATGGCACTGAAAGAGTTGGCTGGTGTTGGCGGGGCGAATCCAAGCAGCATGGAGCTGGCACCTCACAGCCAAGCTACCAAGACCCGCCGGGAAGCAGCGGGGGCCAAGCAGGGGGAATAAGGGGCGGGGGTAGGAAAGTGGCTACTGCTGGTTACTGAGTGCTCTGTCTCCCGCTGGGAGCTCCGTGAAGCTGCTTTCCCATACTGCCTGTAGGCCGACCTCCAATAGGAGTCCAAGAGGGCATATCTGTGCTGCATTAGCTGATAAGGGACCTCTGCTCCAATCTCTTCTCCCTCTCTGTTCTCTGTCAGACGTTTCTTATTCCATTTGGTGCTTGGTTGAGTTCTTTATCTCTTCATTTGAAGCTAGGGTTCCAGGATTGACGTTTGTCTCTGTTTTACTTAGTTTCTCGGCTCTTAGCTGTGGAGGGATGGCGTGGTGCTTCTGTCTACAGTGCCATGTTGGCTCCGCCTCCAAACTAGTTATTTTTACTTAAGGCTACCAATGCTGGAAAATAACTGCTCAGAGGCAGCTCCATTAATACTCTAATGTTATTTCTGTTTCCGTAAAGATAACCATAATCAATGGATTTTCTATTAGAGGTAGGAGACTTCCCATATTTTCTAAATTCAAATAATAAAGAGACACATTGAAACGTGAGGCAAAAAAAAAAAAAAAAAAAGAGAAAATGTTTGAGGTCAAAAGGTGGCAAAATCGGAAAATCAGAAAACTAAATCATCTCAGGTAAAACACCAATCTGGTTTTAAATATGTACTAAGTGCTTATTTATGTCAGAGGGAGAAAAACCAACCACTTATTTTACTTAGTTGAATCTTACTTTCAAAATTGAAAGTTACAACATGAAAAAATATTTACATCTATTTTCTTACGGTCCATTTTTACATTCTGGTTATTTGGGAGAAATTATTGCACTAACTTATTCTTTTTATTTCACACAGTGGTTTCTGTACACATTACATTCTCTGACACTAAGGTAACTGGTAAAATGAGACTAAAGTAGATTATCTCTAAGAGTCCCTTTATTTATAACATTCCAAATAATAATATACTACACACAGACACACACAAAAAGGATGCAAAAAATCCTTATGTACTGATGTGGAATAATGGTGACAATAGTAGCAATAATAATAACCATAACAGGACATGTTACCCACTGACTTAGTACTTGAGGCTTACTTTACATTAACTCATTTCATTCTCTTAACAACTTTAGGATGCAGGTACGATTTGCATCAGCCCTATTTTACAGCTAAAGAAAGCAAAAGCAGTCAGGTCAAGTAACTTGTCCAAGGTCATACAAGTAGTTAGTAGCAGAGATGGGATCTGAATCAAAGCAGTTTGCTTCTAGATTTCATACTCTTGCTCACTATCAAAAGTCAACCCCTATGTATTGAAGTTCTACTGTATTACTAGGATTCCCTGGGTGGCGCAAACACTTAAGTGCTTGACTACTAGTTGAAAGGTTGGCAGTTCAAACCTACCCAGAAAGAAGCTCTTCAGAACTAAGGCCTGGCAATCTACTTCCAAAAGTTCGCAATCTTGAAAACCCTATGGAGCAGTTCTATACTGCACACACAGGGTCTCCATGAGTTGGAATCAACTTGATGGCAACTAACAACAACAACTATACTGTTAAGTAAAAAAAAGCAAGATGCAGAGCAAGAATTAACATGTATCCATTTGTGCAAAGAAAAAGGAGACAAGGATATATATATCTGCCTATGTATACATAAAATATTTCTAGATACTAAAAACTAGCTGCCACAGAAGAGGAAAACTGAGTAGCTGGGGGACAGGGAGGAAGAGAGACTTCTATTCTTTTGAACTGTGAACCATGTGAGTATATTACCTATACAAAAAAATCAAATAGAATTCTATTATCCACATTAAAGTAAAAACTAGCTAATATTAATCTAACAAACTAATCCTAACATTTAACAGAAGCTTCAGAATAAAGAACACACATCATTACTAAGGAACTGAATAGTCCAGAAAGGAATGAGAAGGTGACTGAATCATGATATATATACATACGTACATATATATATAAAACTGTGCTTTAAGTGTAAGTTTTCTACTCAAATTAGTCTCTAATACAAAAAACTTACACATACATTGTTATGTAACCCTAGTTGCTCTCCCTATACTGTGACAGCACCCTCCTCCTTTCCACCCCAGATTTCCCATGTCCATTCAACCAGCTCCTGTCCCTTTCTGCCTTCTCATCTCGTCTCTGGATAGGAGCAGCCCATTCAGTCTCACCTATCTACTTGAGCTAAGAAGCACACTCTTCACGAGTATCATTTTATGTCCCATAGTCCAGTCTAATCTTCGTCTGAAGAGCTGGCCTTGGGAATGGTTTTAGTTTGGGCTAACAGAGAGTCCGGGGGCCATGTCTTCCGGGGTCCCTCCAGTCTCAGTCAAACCACTAAGTCTGGTCTTATCACTAGAATTTGAGTTCTGCACCCTACTTTTCTCCTGCTCCATCAGAGACTCTCTGTTGTGTTCCCTGTCAGGGCGGTCGTTGGTGGTAGCCAAGCACTATCTAGTTCTTCTGGTCATGTTATAATTTGAAAATAAAATTAAATTGTAACTATAAAAAATCAGTCTTTAGGAGAAGACTACAATAAACAAACACTAAGTGGAAATTACATGGGAAAGGAAAGCAAATGGAGACTTTTCGAACAACAGAATTACATTGGTGATAACTATTCTAACTCTTTCCTAACATTAAGATTAGGAAGAATATGCCTGAAATCCTGTAGGTGAATAAATAAAGCTCTTCTTGAGTTTTCATGCAGTTACCATCATTCCCACAAGGGGATGCTACACCTCTACAACTGACAAAAGAGTCAGAATTTAATTTCTGACTTAACCGGAAATGGCATTCACCTTTTAATATTTCCTTATACTACGGATACATGAATAAGCAGATGTTTCTATTTCACGCTATATCAATATTTTACATTTTTACTTTCAGACGGTAATTGTAAAATGTTAATACTATTACCAGAGAAAAAGCTAAAGGAATCAAATTTTCACCTGTCTGTGTTCTTATATCATGCCAAAATAGTTGAACAGTTTTACCAAATTTGGTAGGCATGACTGGAAATAGTCTTACTTAAAATACAGGCTATGTGGCGCATTTCAAGTTCACTTTCAGGAGGCCTGGGAGGCACAACAACTTCTTCTTCTCTTTCGTACTGAGTAGTATGGCATATAATCTTACTGAAGACTTGACAAACTGAGTTCAGAAATTTTCATTTGAAAATGTATGCTAGGAAGGAAAAAGAAGGCAAGCAAGGGAGGTAGGACAACAGGACAAATGTTTACACATTTTTTATAGTGACTAAGTTTAGGTTTTCTTCCCTCTGTGGATGCGTTTTAGAAATTACAACATACAAAATACCACCGGAAAGGCCAATAAACCTTAGATCTGCATTAGCAAGTGCTGAAAATAAAATGAAAATTTCAAGAGTCTAAAAATTAGTCTACAAGGGATAACTAACTGCTTGAGTCCAAAATGAAGAATGTCTGATGGCCAATCGGGAGAGGCAGGCTCTTTTTAAGGACAAATGAAACCGACACCCACAGTAAGAACATCTAAATACTTAATTTCAGCTCCTCTTCCAGGCAGCTGAAGCAGAGTTCTAACAAGTGGACCTTAAAAGGCAAATGAGAAAGGCATGTTCTTTTATTCTCAGTTGAAAGCCAAGTCTAGCATGAGGGATGCTGGGCCACCTATTGGAAGGGATAGGATATTCATGCTTTCAAGTGCTGTGGGCAGAAAAAATAATAGCTTCACATCAATTGTGGTAAGGAAATGAACATCAATTTAATGTCTGAACACTAAGTTTAATTTAACATCAGTTTAATGTCACTACTACTGAGTCATGAAAAGGTAAAAACAATATTGTAGCCATTACTGACTACCTAGAGCTCCTGAAAAGTATTACTAACTCAATCAGCCCAACAGTATCTAGACTGTAAACACTTAGAACATAACATCTGGGCCATACACAGTGCACTTCAATGGGGGGTAGAGAAGGAAAATCACTGGTTAGATGCCATAAAACAGCTGATTTCCTTAATAAATCCTTTGCTTTCAAATATCCACAGTTCCCATGATCCCTAATAAAGCTTCCGAACCACAGATGTTGATTTGTGACCAAGCATCTTCTCACATGGCCAACTCGCATGTAATGATTTCAATGTTTTCTGTTTCCCCCTTGAGTTACGATTTAGTTTTTGAAATGAAAAATATTCCTAGACAATTCAGTTCTTTTAACCCAGTACCAAAGGTCAAGTCATAAAACTATCAATCTGCTTATATTTCTGCAATAATGAATTAATGACTAAATCAATTAATGATAATGATTTCTGGCTTACTCCACTGCAAATTTAAAATATGTTCATAGAAAGCATTTATTTGCATATACAGGACATTAATGTGGATGACCTACTATGGAGTGCACTAGAATGTTTGTCTTCTTACCAAGCTTGATGAGAGGAATCATTTCTTAACACATTCACAGGAACCTTAATTTCACCTAGGAAAACATCTTGGACCAGATTTCCATTGTTCCATAAGTCGATCCTGAAAATGGAAAACTGGCTTCATTTTTTGCAAACAATGTTTAAGAGAACACACACCCCGAATAGCTTCAAATCACTTTGATGTGTTTATTACAGCATTAATTTTACATGCTTAAAAGTAAGCGATGTTAGCATTGTCATAGGCCTCACTATCTAGACTAGAAAAGCAAATACTGGACTAGCTTTTATTTAAAAGCACAGAAAGTAAATTTAAAGTCTAAAAGAAATCACTTAAGTTTTCTAGTTTCAAGTCTAGGCTTTATTTTAATCTGTAGCAATAAGGACTACAGAATTACTTTGTTGATTTTGAGAAAAGAAACCAACACAACACTACAGTTTCTCTCTCAATTATAACCAATTAGTATGTAAATTGGGTGATTTAGAAAAATACACTACCTGATCATTCCAAACATATGAGTAATATACCCTTTAGATGAACACACTGTTAACATCACACCTACACATGCATTTACAACAACTTTCCCCTCCCAAATAGCATAAATATTTAAGACCTAGGAAATAGCACAAACTTCAAACACATGCACCTGTTGAATTATCTTACGAGACTCCTTACCTCACTGAAATTTCTGTTAGACAGCAGATATGTTAAGAAGAATAAAAAAATTATTTCTAAATTGACTGAGATATAATTGATTTTCTATATATTCTTTGTACCCATTATGCTATGATTCAAAAATTTAAGGAACAATTACATTTGGGAAAAATTAAAAATTAATATAATAACTGAAGATTAGGTCATATTTGTTTATAAAATAAATACACCTTGTCTATTTCTGCACAGAAATTCAATTCAGAAAATACAATTTGGATTTAAACTGATGATGCAGGTTTCACCAACCAACCTGCTAATAAGAATTAGATTAAGCTTAGCTCACTTTTTTAAGTTAAATTTAGGGTTTTCTTTTGGCACAGAAAAAAGCAATTCTGTAAAATTCAAAGGTACATACCTAATTTCTAGCTTTTCAATGTCCTCCTCTTCTACCTGGAACTGGGACTTTCTCGTGTAACTGCTGGATCTGGTTACCTGTAACAAAATACTTTAGTTAAAAAAAATTGTGTAACAAAATATTTTAGTAAAAAAAAAAATTTTAAGTATCTTTTTCCTACATGAACTTAAAAAATTTATCATCCTCAAAATGTTCAACCGTAAATATGGAGGATACTGGAAAGAAATGCCCAGATACTATTTTACCCAAAAGCTAAATATGAAAATAGCCATGGAAATATCAGGGAGGTGGTGTTAAAAAAAAAAAAAAAAAAAAGTCCAAAGAAACCTTTGCCTCCATACCATTCCTAGCCACTCTATACAGAGCAGCATAAGGTTCTCTGGCTCGCATGTAATCTTCCCATCACAATGAAGCTGCACATGCTAAGAATTGTTTGAAGACTTTCCCACCAGTCCTATCCTTGCACTTTCTGCTCACATTCCTGCTAAAAATATCAAGAACATTACAGGAACTTCCTCAACTACTGTGCACCTGAATACGTCACTCTCACACAGGCCTTTCTATTTGAGTTTTCTCATATTCTTCTCCTGAACAAGAGAATGACATGATCCTCCTCTTTTCTGGGACTACCCCACCCACACACAGTATGCAACAAGCATAAGCACTCAATCTATTTTAATTATAGCTTTACCAGCTCATTCACCTCACTCGAGTCGAAAAAAAATCCTCCACCTAATTAAATTAATCTTCCTATCTCTTTCCTTTCACAGACAAATATCTCAAAACTAATCCATCCTTAACAGCTTCCATTTCCTCACCACCCACGCACCACAGTAACCTCCTTATAATGCGCCTTCTGCGCAGATCACTCTCCTAAAACCTCTCTCTTAATCACCAAATGTGGTGATCAATTCTTAGTTCTTACCTTCTCTGACCTCTCTGTAACATCTGCACTAGTGATTATACGACTATACCTCCTTTCCTATTAACACTCTTTGAGTTTCCTGGGGCACTATCCTGGCACTAGGGGCACTAGGACTCCCTGGGTGGTACAAATGGTTAAGCACTCAGCTACTAACCAAAACGTTGGCAGTTTCAAACCCACCCAGAGGCACCTTGAAGAAAGGCTTAGCATTTGCTTCTGGAAAGTCGCGGCCATGAAAACTTATGAAGCACTGTTTTACTCTGCACATGCGGGGTTGTCATGAGTCAGAATTGTCTCAAGGCAACTTTTTTTTTTTTTAATCCTGGCAAATGTCTGCTCTTTTTGCTTCTTCCTCTGGTACCTCTTCTTTCTCAGAACTGTAAACATGGGTATTCTCCAAAGTTTCATCTTTTATTTTACTCTAAAAATAACCTGGAGCTGCATAATGCTGTACAGTTTACAAAGTGCTTTCACATCCAAAGTGCTTTCATATCCATTATCTCCTTTGTTCATCAAAATTCGGCTCTGAGGCGGGCAGGGCTAGATTCATTATCCTCATTTTAAAATAGGAGGAAGGTGAAATACAGAAATTAAATGACACACACAAAGCTGAATATCTAATAAATGGCAGAACTGAGCTTCTTCGCTTTTCTCCTTTATTGAACACCCTAAGCTTTTGTGACTTTTTGTAAGAAATCCTGAGTCTTCATCTACAACCACCTCTCTTAGGTTTCAGTCATGAACTATTTGAAGATTTTCCATGTTGGATCTCAAGGTCATTACGTTCCAAACAGAACTACTTATGTTTTCCTTCTTCCTAATTTTTCCATTTCTCCAGATTTGAAACCATGGGGACAACTCTTTTTCTTTTCTTCTATAAGCAATTTGTTAGCTTGAACTTGGTAGTTTCTTTCTCATCTTCCCCTTCCTATCCATTCCTGTATTACTCTTTTGAATCAGGCCCGTTTTTAACACCTAAACTACAACAGTCTTCCAATCTTTTTTCTCTCTCCCTAAGCCACCTAAGTCCACAGATTATAGTTAATTTTTCCTAAAACACTGCTTTACTCTTATCACTTCCAGGTTCAATGACTAAAATTTAAACATCTCGGCCTAGCACTGAAGGCCTTTTATTAGCTGCTCCTACTCTACCTTTTTAGTCTTGGTTCTCATTATTTTCTTATACAAACCGTCCAGTCAAATCACTATTTCATGCTCTTTGGACTAACTTTCTGCTTTACTGTCTTTGTGGCTCTGCAAAATGTTCCTTCTCTCAAATACTCTCTTTCCTCTCACTTAAGAAAATCCAGCCCTTCTTTAAGCCATCCCCACCATCTCACCTGGAGCAGAGCTCATCTGACCTCCCTAGTACTACTATGCTTTAGTGCAGTGTATATACATGCATGTGCAGACATTGTGACTGTTACTCTAACTAGAGAGCAAAGACTGAACCTTTATAATCAATCACCTCAACAAATAGGCCTAATAGGTACTCTAGGATACAGCAAGCAGGTGAGGCCTTGACCTTCAGCTATTAAGGACCCCTGAGGCATGGTAGATTCTATCCCATCTGAGGTTTAAGGTATGGGGATTAATGGAGAGTGTGACTGCCTTTAGTCAGTAGCCCCTTTTGTTGCTGTCTTCTTTGTTTTCTCCATGCCATTAATAAATGCAGAACGAGCATACTAAGTCGTTAGCCAGGAAATGGAAAAGTCTCACATTGGTACGTTTTCTTTTGATTTTTGTTCTCCCTTGACTCCACCTCTACAATTCTTTCTACTTCACTTTTGACATTTCCTTCAGCCTGTGTTCCTCTACCAGAAAATGGTAATCATTCACCACTAGATGTGCCCTCATTCACTCTACCTTGAAATATCAACACACACACACACACACACACACACACACACACACACAGAGAAAAAGCAACAGATGTAACTTCTTTTTTCAAACCTTTCTTAAATGTTAATCTCAACTGCAACATGTTCCACTATTAGAACACAACCTTTTAGAGAGTTTATTTTTTTCTGTAGTTTTCAAATAATATGAAAAAGGATTTCTTTAACAATGCTCCAAGTAAAGAACTCCAAAGCACTGTATTTGGGACAACTTCAAGGCAGCTGAAGATCTCCATAAAAATAAGCATGTATCCACAGTGAATTAGGCTAAGCTGCAAAAAGAATACTGTAATTAGGCCTTAATCATATAGTACTTTATGGTCTCAAGCATTCTCACATTTGGGCCTTATAAAAACTCTATGAGTTAGGCAGGGCTGTTATGTTATTCCCTTACAAAATTATCCTCTTACGAGAGAAGGAAGCTGAGTCTCACTTAGTGACTTGTTCAAAATCAGCTGGGAGTAGAATTCAGATCTACCGAGTGCTGATATACTTACCTCCCTAGTGGTTTTCAAACAGTCCTCTGCAGAGTCCTGCGGCCCCATGGGTCAGGTGGTAGGCCAGATGAGGTGGGATGGCAGAGGAGGGTGTGACAGGATGACTGGGGAGTGGGTGTTGCCCTAGGTCTCCCACTCCCAAACCAATCAGAGCTCTCTGCCTTTGTTTTCTATATTGGGCCTCCCCTACATTGCATCACATTATGGTTCTACTGCATTCAGAAGAGAAATGCTTAACTGCTACATAGTTGCTAAAGTTGTGTGCCCTCTACTTCATTCCAACTCACAGGGACCCAACAGGACAGAGCAGAACTGCCCCATAAGCTTTCCTAGGCTGTAATCTTTATGGGAGCAGATCACCAGGTCTTTTCTCCAACTGGAGCCACCTTTCGGCTAGCAGCCAGGTCAATGCACCACCAAGGCTTCTTAGTTGCTGAAGGAGTTCCTTATTAACGTATGCTAGCAATAAGTAATGTGCTGGGCTCATCTTCTTATGTGAAGAACTTGGACAAACATTTTAATAGCTTTCTGGAATTAAATGTATTAATACCAAGCTCTTCATGTTACTACAGTTTTACTTACATTACTTCCTATTGGCTAAGGCAGCAGAGTTGGAAATCCAAATGAAAATAAAGCTGAATATTTGTTCTAAAAAAATGACTTATTAGATTATAATATTAAATGATAATTACTATATACTTTCTTATTGATTTAGAACCACTGTGATATAGTTAATTTCATGTCATCTTGGCTAGGTTGTGGATCCAGTGGTTTGGCCAAAACTAGACTAGTTGCTGTTCCACAATGCAATCTAATGCAATACAACGTAATCATCTTCCATAATGTAATCTACTGTAATCAATCAGTTGAAAGTGAAGTTTCCTTACGGTATGGTCTGCCTCCAGACTATAAATACATATTCTGGCCGAACTCTCTCTCTCTCCACCCTCAGTCTTCCTGTTGCCTGTCCTACAAATCCTGGGATGCAAGCCTGCAGAATTCTCCAGCCTGCTACCTGTTCTATGGATTTTGGACTTGTCTGCCTCCCACAAGCCTATGAGCCACCAGGAGACTCTGGCCTGTCATATGATCTACAGATTTTGGACTTGCCAGCCCCTACAATCGCATGAGCTTATCTCTTGAAGTAAATCTCTCTACATGTACCTACCTATATCTCACTGGTTCTGTTTCTCTAGAGAACCCTAAGAGAACCACCTATATAGATGTGGACTTGTCAAAACTGCTTTTGATAAAATGGTTATCGTGGCAATTGTTTGAGAAAAGAAGTCAACCAGCATTCAATTATTAAATATTCAATGTTAATAACATTTATATAAAACAAAAAGTTACCTCAAAATAAAAGATTTCGTTAAACTGTGGATTGCTTGTTTTCTTCTTTACTTTTGTCTTCTTTTGGTCATTCCTGTTCCAATGTGGTAGAGTTTTACCTTGTAGAACTTAATAGTACACAATTATAAAACATGCTATTTCCAACCAGGGAGACTGATCTTTGTTTAACTGTTAAGATGACTCAGGGAAGACTGTAGTTCTAAATATTACTTGGGGTAGGGGAGGAATTGCAGTGTTTCTACAAACTAAAATCAAAGAATACACAAGCTCAGTGTATTCTATATATGCCAAGATTGAATATTATTCCCTCTGTGGCTATACTAGACTGTCAAGTTTTCTTCAGGAGTTTTAAAAAACATACTCCATTATATAAGCAATATATAATATTCTGTAACTCTATATAGAGTGAGAAGGAAGACAATGAGATCTGGAGTACCTTTATCTATGTTGAAAAATACCTGAGGAACACAAAAAGCATTCTTAACTCAGTTTACTCCTTGGGCTTCAGCTCCAACAGTGATTTTTTTTTTTAACTTCTTATTTTGAAATAATTATATATTTACAGGTGGTTGCAAAGAAATGTACAGGTAAGTCTTGTGCAGCCTTCCCGCAGACTCCCTCAACGTTGACATCTTATACAACTATAGTACAATATCAAAACCAATAATGACTTTTTAAAACACAAATTCATATGCCAGTTTTTGTGTATGTTACTGAACAATCATACGAAAGAGTATGTCTGTCAGGTATAGATTATAAAATCTGTTAGACTGAACATTTTTAACATGCAAGCAAAAATCCATCTGATAACATTAATGTTATAGGATTGAGTTATCTGTTTTTAAATTTTAAAACGTCTGTAATAATAATAGTATTCTATTGTTGGAGTACCCAGTAAGTGCTAGGTACTTTATATACATATATAGATATATTTTTCAAAATGACCTGTTAGTGATTTTCTAAAAAATAACTAGAGAGCTTGGGGTTCGGAAGGAGGAGCGGGCATGCCTGAGTGTGTAGAGGAGAATATTGTGTTTTTTGCTTCCTGATTCTAAACCTTCAAGTTTTAGACAAATTTCAGATCAGTCAGGTCCTGAAAGAAACCATAATGAAGTTATAAAATATAAAATATTACAAAGTCCTGTAGGTTTCTTTATAAGCACCATTAAACATTTAAATCAATAATACAGTACACTTCATCACATTCTGGTACATCAGCAGTTTGTCTACAGCATGGAATTCTCTCTGTGGAGCACAAATTCCATGAGTGGAAAAGATATTTTCAGTCCTTGTTATTTTGAAATGGCATTTATTAAATCAGGATTTTACCTTTATAAACTCTTAAAATATCTGAAAGTAGGAACACTGATAACTGAAATAGCCAAGTCTGTGTTTTAAAGATCATCTTAACTAGTGTAAAACTGAGGCTATTCCCCACAGCCTAAGAGTCTGGAAAATCTGAAATGGTACCCGTTATTTTCTTTCTATAAAACAGGATTTGGTTGCTTTCAAGGATGTAACAATTCATCGAAGGCTTTCTTTCAAAGCATTCACTACTTTGTATCATTAATAATCATTCAGCATTTGCTCTTAGAACCTCAGTTTTATAAATCTTTTGTCCATTCAGAACTTAAAAACCTAGTAATAAGTCAACAAACATTACCTAGAAGGGCCCACCAGAGAAACAGTCGCATAAGGGTCACAGCTTTGTCCATTTATGAGAGGCAACCCATGGCATGCCTTGATGCTAAGGTAGAATAAAAGAGAATTAACATGCTATGTTCAAGTTAAACAATATAAAACACAAATTAATATATTCAAAGAGTTCAAAATTGCTTCCTATGTGTCTGCAGTTGTATGCCCATATACGACCTAACACAAGAATATGCATATATGCATTTATTTACTTATGCTATGTTTTCAAAATAGCACTAAATTGGAATGCCAGTCAGTACTGAGACTGCCGAATAATATTTAAATTTCCCCCCTAAATATCCAACAAGTGCATTTTGTAGTTTGACAATACATCAAAACTGGTATGGCTTCTAAAAGGGAAAAGAAAGCAGTGAGAACTTCAACTGAATGAATTACAAACCAAGCCAGCTCTATGGCATCATATCCTCTGCTAAAGCATGAATGAGAAAAAAGGAAACAACTGTGGTTTCCACTTAAAATCCGATTCATAACTACAGGGCAAACTTTCACATAGTTCTGTAACCTTTTATTCTGATTCTCAGGAACAGCTCCTGCATCATTCTGTAGAAAATTTTTTAGACCATAAAAACCAATATTGCAAACAATCCACTCCACAGATTACATTCACTGGCATTTACAGAGAACAAAGAATTTCACTTAATGACTTGCTCCTCAAATTTTCTCACTAAATATTACAGAGTTCATACGTTTAGTTTAATGCCTATAGGTCTGCACATCCTAATACCTAAGAGACACTCATGAGTGTTGCTGAAAAGTATTCTTTGTTGAAACATGTGGGCGCAGATGTAGAACTGTTGGGCAATGTTCTTATTTCTCTCCACAACCTACAGATCACTGTGTGGATTAAGTGCAAGTGGTGTGATGCTGAGGAAATAGAGAAATGATAACACAACTTAATTCCATTAAACTGGGTATCAAAAATCAAATTAAAAAAATTTCTGAAACAAACCAAAGAAAGAATAAGCCAAGTGACACTTCTAGGTTTTAACGTTAGGCAGAAGTACATGCAAATCTTCCTCTCAAGCTAAACCTCAAAATGATACCTGGTTTTCATATAGCAGTTACAGTTTATGATACACTTTCAGAAAACGCATCTAACAATGACAACTGCCTTTGAGATGAGTATCATCACGCCATTTTAAAGAAAAAAGTAAGGTTCAAAGAGATTGTATGAGAAAGTAACAAAGTAAGGCCTGAACACGTAACACAACTTGTAGAGGCAGGCCAAGACTCAAATTCTACTTTCTAACTCTGTTAATGAAGTCCACATCTTTCTACGTTCCCACTCTGCCTGAAAATATTGCATTCATCTCCTTGCAATACCAAATTTATCAAACGTAAACACTAATTATGAGAAATCTATATTACAGAAAATCTATTAACTATACCTTTATGAGGTATTAAAAAAAATGAGGAAAATACAGTACAGTATACAAAGACTTCCATAAGAATACCCACAAAACGGGGCTGTTAACCACTGTCATTAGGGCAACATGTGTACTAACTGTTTAATGAGAAACTATTTTGTTCTGTAAACCATCTAAAGTGAGAACAGCAGCACAACTGGAAGAACGTAATGTCACTGAACTGTGCATGTAGAAATTTTTGAAATGGTGTATCTTTGGCTCTGTATATTTTCACCAAAAAAAAGGTCGACAAGGGAGAGGGCTGACATGTCGTGGGGTTGTTAACCAATATCATAAAACAGTATGTGTACTGACTGTTTAACGAGGAACTATTTGTTCTGTAAACCTTCACCTGAAGTACAATTAAAAAAAAAAAAAAAGAAAAAGAATACCCACAAAACAATGAAGTCCATAAACCTAAAGTATGAGTCTATAAAAACTGTCAGTACTCTAAATAAATTTTGAAATGTAAGAAGGTTTAAAAATGTTTTCTGTCAAATTTAAGTAACTTTATTAAATAAACATTTGCTACATATATTCTAAAACATTATTTTCCTAATTACCTAGGATATAACTGTTCTAATCAATAAATCAAGCAGTTTCACATCACAAACCATGGATGGGCAGAAAGCAAATGTTGAAGATAATCTTTATATACTTGATTATCTTGTAAAATTTTTTTTATACATGACATATGAAGTATTTGATATCAATACATTATCTAGAAATTACAAAGGGAAATAAATTTAGTCCAAACTTGCTGAAAATACAGACTGATCTGAATCTTTTCCTTGGATTTTTCTTTTTTAAAACTAAATGTCTAAGTCCAGCCAAGATGCAGTTAACGGGATCTGGATTTACTGGCCCACCTGAAACAACTAAAACATGGACAAAACCAGTAGTGCAGGCAGTGATCCCTGACAGGGAGAGTAAACAAGACGAGCCAAGCTTACTTCTAGATGGTCACCCTGAAAGAGGAGACAGAGCTCTCAGTTGAGGGAGGTCAAAGTGGCTAGAATTCTCAAGGCAGAGTACTGAAGGGAAGTACAGAGAGAGAGAGAGACAGACAGACAGACAGACAGACTTTCCTCTAGGAAGCTGAAAGAATCCCCCTAAAGTCTTCAGCTGAAAGCCAATAAGCATACACATGTGAGGAAACTACCTAAGACTGGAGAAAAGAGTCATTTGAAAACAGCAGAGGAAACAATTCTCTAAGTCCACAGATGGCAGGCAATAGTTCCTGTTCCCACCAGCCATAATGGAAAACCTGGTGATTCATGGGTGCTGCCTCAGTAGAGGAAAAATATAAGACCTAGACTAAAGGCTCCTCTTGTCCCATCAAAAAAGATTCAAAGCAGGCCACAAAGGACCAAACTGTTGCCAAGTAATTTAACTGAGCCCTGAACAAAACTCAAGAATATTTAGAAGAATATGAAAATATTCAGCAATTTCACAATGTCTGGCATTGCCTTGCAAAAAAATAGTAATAATAACAACAACAACCAGGAACGCAAAGAACAACATACCCGTAATGAAAACAAAAATCAACAGAAACAGAACACAGATTAGAATTAGTAGACAAGAACATTAAAAAAGTTGTAACTATGTTGCATGTCCAATAGAGACATAGAAGATACTAAAAATGGAAACTCCAGAGATAAAAATACAAGGTCTGATACAACAAACACACTGGATGGGATTGATAGAAAATAAGACACAGCAGAAGAAAAGATTAGTAAACAAAGATATAGCAATAGATAGTATCCAAAATACAGAGAAAAAAGGTTGAAAAAAATTGAGCAGGTTTGTGGAATGATTTCAAGTGGCCTAAAATACATTAACTGGAGTATCCAAACAAAGGGGCAGTATAAAAAAAATTTGAAAAAAAAAGATGAAAAATTTTCAAATCTGATTAAAACTAAACCCCACAGATTAAAGAGCAATGAACTCTTAAGCACAGAAACATTAAAAAAAAAAACCCAAAACAAAAAAACTCAAGACATGTCATGAACAAATTGCTTATAATCAGTCATAAAGAGAAAACCTTTTTTTTTTTTTAAATGCTTGATTCCTTTTATTGTTTAGAACCATTTAATTATATAAATGTACACCATTTTTCCATTTTTCTGTCACTGCATATTTGCTATATTTCTAATTTTTGGCTATTGTTTACAAGTCTTCTTGGAGATTCATGTTTTCCTTTTTATTGGATAGATAACCTTTAAATAATGTCGTTAGATGTAATATTCTAAAAATGTCAATTAGGTCAAATCAATGTGGAACATAATTTCTATATGCCAACTGAGTTTTCTTTATAGGGCCTTTTTAATTGCTGAAAGGACAATGTTAAAATCCCCAAGTTTGATTGTGGATTTTTCTATTGCACTCTTCATTCTTCAGTATTTTGAAATTCTTATTAGATGTATACACATTTAGTATTGCTGTCTTTCTTGTGACTGCTCCTTTTATTTTATTTTATTTTTGTTGCTGCTGTTAAGAATATACATAGCAGAATATATGCTAATTCAACAACTTCTACATGTACAAGTTGTGCGACCATTCTCACCCTCCTTTTCCAAGTTGTTCCTCCCCCATTAATATAAATGTGCTGCCTCCTAGATTCCTATCTAACTTTCGAGTTGCCATTGTCAATTTGATCTCATATAGGTAGATCTTAAAGGAGCACAAAGTTCAAGGCAGATATTCTTTACTAGTTAAGCTAAACTACTGTTTGGTTTTAAGAAGAATTCACAGGATTTTTTTTTTTTTAATTGTACTTTAGATGAAAGTTTACAGAGCAAACTAGTTTCTCATTAAACAATTAACACACATACTGTTTTGTGACACTGGCTGCCAACCCCACGACATGTCAACATTCTCCTCTTCTCGACCTTGGGTTTCCCAATACCAGCTTTCCTGTCCCTTCCTGCCTTCTCATTCTTGCCCCGGAGCTGGTGTGCCCATAGTTACTCTTCGTTTTGTTTTATGGGCCTGTCTAATCTTTGGCTGAACGGTGTACCTCAGGAGTGACTTCATTACTGAGGTATAAGGGTGTCTGGGGGCTAAACTCTCAGGGTTTCTCCAGTCCCTGTCAGACCAGTAAGTCTGGTTTTTTTTTTTGTGTGTGAGTTAGAATTTTGTTCTACATTTTTCTCCAGCTCTGTCCGGGACCCTTTATTGTGATCCCTGTCAGAGCAGTCAGTGGTGGTAGCTGGGCACCATCTAGTTGTGCTGGACTCAGTCTGGTGGAGGCTGTGGTAG